TGCACTCTTCACACTTAGGGTTAGCTAGAGGGATGACTTTTCAGATGGAGGATGATGAGGATGAAGGTCTTAGGGCCATAAGGATGTTTAAATAAGGTCCAAACCCTAAATTTTAGGGTTTGAAACCCTCGCATGTACGCCTTGCGTACGCGGTGTATGCCCAACGTACTACTTCCATCGCATGTACGCCTTGCTTACGAAGCGTACGCCCAACGTACTAAGTCTCGCCCCAAAATTACCAAAATGCCATCATGGGCCATTTTGCAATCCTTCTCATATGCAGGGACCAAAATGCAATATTTCTTCATACATAGGGTTAAAATTGATATTACCTCATCATCGGGATGTTACAAGAACTAAGGTTACAAATCAAGGCGTGGACTGGTGCGTGGTGTCTGATGGTTGTTACAACGCTGATGGTTAATCATGTGAAGACAAAGGTGGGGAATACGAACCAATGAATGCATCTAGAAAGACTCATGTGTAGACGAAGATGGGAAATCAAGTTGTATTTACTGATGAGACCATAAGTTGATTTATGGTTTGAAAACATAAATTGGTAGAATAGATGAGATGGCGAGATGACAAACAGGTGAAATGGGGTTTACTTGCAAATCAACGATATTAAATAAAAAAATTAGAAATTTCAAACGGAAAATCAAAAGAAATTAAAAGAGAATAAAGTATTATAGTATTAGAAGGGGGGATAGAGAGAATCGGGTTTACCAAACAAATTCGATGTATACTCCAGAGAAGAGGAGAGGAGATAAGAAATTTCAAAAAATTCAAATCCTTTCATCCTCAAATCATGCTAAATAGAATCGATTTCAAATTTCAATTACGAATTTCATAGATGAAATTCGAGTATGTAGAAACCAGAATGTAAAAGAATATAAGCAAGCCACGTGGCAAAACAAATGTGTAGAAAGAAGACATGTGGCTTGTGTAGGTTTTGTTTATTAGGCTAAGGGGGGTGGTAACACTCCTAACACCTTGTCACCTTAGATTTTGGAGTGTCACCTCATTTTTGTATATTTAGCATTTAATCTTAGCATTTGGTAGGGAGTGGTAACACTCCTAGCACTTTTTTTTTTATTTTCTTTTTCTAATTTAATTTAATTACTTTATTTTAATATAGAAACACTTTTTGTGCATAAATATTAAACAAATTTTATTTTTTTAAACCAAAAATGAATTTGTTTTGTAATTAGTTGTTGTGGTTATTATTATTATTATTATTATTATTATTATTATTATTATAAATGAATTTGTACCATTGTAATATCATTATGAAACATAACTTTCACTTGATGTAGAAAGAATCTTTAAAACTCAAGGGATTAAGCTTAAGTAAAGTAAAAGTACAAGGACTATGCGATAAATAATTTCATCTGGTTTATCTTCTTCTCTTTTGAGAAAACCAGACAACATGGACGTTTTATCTTTTTCTCTTTTGAAGAAAATCATCATTTTTGCAGAGCAAGGTTCGTTAAATTGAATTTTGTCAAGCAAATAAGTAATCCGGTCAAACCACACACAAACCAATCACATTCGTTTCTCATCTTCTCTTTCTTCTCACCAAAACAGTGACGAGCCTCCGGTGGCGAGTCCCTAGCGAGCGCTAGGGGGCGGTGTTCCAAGTTGCTTAGCGTGTTTGGCAAGGGTATTTGGCGAGCCACTCCGCTTAGTCATAGAGGAGGTAGATTGATGATCACGATTTTTAAGGGTTTTCAATTATTTTTTGTATTATCTAAATGTTGCGATTATGTACATGTGTTATGTACCCTATCGATACCAAACACAAATCAATTTTCCTAAGCCCAACATAAAAATATGGTATTCTAAGTGTGTCTCAGTGTTGCAATTACACACACATCTTGTGTTAGGGGTGTTGATCGGGTAAAATTTTCGGGTTTCGGGTAATTCGGGTTTTTCATATAAAAAAAATTACCCGTTACCCTACCCAAATTAAATTCGGGTAATTCGGGTTTGGGTAATTTGGGTATTACCCGATTTTTAAATTTTTTTTAAAATTTTTTAATGACACCTAAAAATAAATGTAATGAAATAAGTATGTCGTGCTAAACTTTGAACATTGAGATTTTTTACTCAATAATATTTGAGATATCAAGTATTCGTTTAACAATTTAATTAAATCTAATAAGATGTTAAAAAAAAACAAATATTTAAAGAAATAATAACAACCAAAGTCTACCATTTAAATTACTTGATATCAATGTATATGCATGTATTTTGCACTTACCAAAAAACTCACGTCTTAAATCTAGAAAACATAGAAAACCATTACATAGGTGTCCGACGACTAGATGAAATTGATTGATCGG